AAGGCCCAGAACTTTCAGCTATGAAGCCGAAACCTAGACCTAGCAAAGCTATGAGTTCCTGAAAGACAGATACTAGCATAGCTATGCATCCGTGGATTCCGTCAAGCCCGTGAAAACCAGCTCAATATAAACACTTTTTTCGGGATCATTAGAAATCATAGGGTCCGTCAATTTCTGGGTAGTCCAGCACAGTCCCAGATCCTCAATAAGAACATTGTTTAGGGGTTCGGAATAATGAAAAATTCCGCCAGCCGCCCTAATTTTGGATGTTTGAAAAAGGGTCTGTTTGATTTTAAAAGGGCCAGATATTCAGGCCATATAGTCAGATATTAGGAAATCTATCAGTCCGTGTAGGCCAGACATTAGCAAAGCTAGGATTCCGCGTAATCCTTGTTTGGCCCGTGAAATCCGTAAACTCCGCGAAAAATCCTCCATATAAAGCCCTTTTTCGGGCTGATTAGAAATCATACGGTCCGTCAATTTCTGTGGGGGGTAGTCCAGCAGAGCCCCGGATCCTCAAGAATAACAATTCACTCTGCCAGCCGCCTAGAATTTCTGGAAAATTTAAAAGGATGTGTAGAAATCTAAAAGGTCCAGAGCTTTTAGCTATAAAGCCAGATGTTAGCAAAACTATGAGTTCGTGAAAGCCAGATACTAGCAGAGCTAAGAATCCGTGAAATTGTACTTACATTTATTTGAACTTAAAAGGCCCAAGGCCCCAAAGAATGAAGAATTTCAACTACATTTATATAATCTCGAAAGGCCCAAGGCCTCAAAGAATAAAGGATTTCAATTGAAATCATGTAAATTTATAAGGCCCAGAGCCAGAAATAGTAAAGTTTACTGAAATGTTAAAGGCACAAAGCCTTTCGCTATAAAGCCAAATACTAGCAGAATTCGTGAAAGCCGCGAAATCTGGTTTCAATGGGTGTCATTGGATTTTATTTGCACAAAATTGGGCTCTATCAGTTTTTCAATAGGTTTCCAATTGGCACAAGAGGGTTTTGATTAGATGTGAATGCGAAAAATAACATGAAACAGAATACCAGATTCAAGGCTACTACCGAGATTCATGTTGTATCGATTTTAATTGCGCGGCAAAGTTAGGGGGGCCGACCGACCTACTAAAGAGGAAGGCCAATTGTTCACGGGGGGGTCGCCTATACTAAAGGGGGTGCAACATTAAATGCCCGAGCATTGCTGCAACTTGTTGGTTGACTCGCAAAGGTTTCACAGTTGTGCCAACCGCAAAAACTTCCCAAGTCTTCTACAAGAGCCGAGGTCCTGGGACGCTTATTCCCGCGTTGCCGCCACCCTGCTCGTGGGTGCGTCGCGGGCTTACGCAGTGCTGCTTTTGGTTCACGATTCCCTCATAGAGGAACTTAGCGGTGCTGGCTCTAGATTCAAACGCCCTCATCGTGCCAGCAGGGTTGAGAGTATGTTACCGATGATGGTAGGGTTCTTGTCGTGCATGCATCTGGCGGTCATCTGGAAAGTGAACAGTTGGCCAACGAGGTGTTGGCAGCACTCAAACTCAGAAAGATCCGTCGACCCAGCAGTGCATCTTTGTTATAACTTGCGGGTGATCAAGCACAATTTGCTCTCTCCTCTGCTGGTCCATCAAGACAGCTTCTGCAGAAGCTGTGCGGGGTTACGTGAGTAACACAAGGACGCCTAGACTCCAACTTTCTCATGAATGCTAACTCTTGACCCCGGAGTGAAGCTGGACAACAATGCTTGCCAAGTCGTGTTTCGTTGTTGTTTGGAGATGTGAAAAGCTCTGAAACGTGTGGACTGACGTCGCAAAAGCACGGCTTCTCCGGGTTTGATTGATGTTGCTAAACCATGCTAATTAAACCCAATTCCCCATACCCCAAACCCTCGTGCTTAAATACACCACTTACACTTACACCCTGCGTATACAGGCAGCATTTTGATCGGAATACCAAGCCTTGTCTGAAGAGCTCTCAGGTGCCGTATTTACATGGATTTCTCATTTGGTAACAGGGAAATGCTGTGATCTTCATCAATAGATTCGATATATCACTAGATGCTGAGACTTACACAGCATTGACTTGCTTCTGTGCAGACCGCAAGCCCCCTGGATTTGGTATATTTGAGAAGCCAGCAGCCTCCCGCGCTATGCCCAGCAAACCCAGCTGCATGGAAACAACCTGCCTCTAGGTCGAAAGAGGGTCTGTCCATCGCCCCGCCGAAAGGTAGGCCTTAGAGTGCCGAAAAACGCCTCGCAGACTTCTTTTAGGCGCGCGGGACTGCTTTTGTGGGGACCTGGCAAGCCATGAATACAACCACTTCACAGAGATTCGAGAGAAGCTTGGGTCGCATGAAGACTAGCTTCCAGAAGCAACTAGAGCCCCTACCCCCGGCAGGTTGTCAAACCAAGCTTCCCTGATGAAACCTGCTGCTTTCAAGTACACTCAGCCATCATGTTATGGAGTGCCAGCGAGAGTCTTCTCATGCTAGCCCATGGGTGCATCCACGTGCATCCAGAGAAAAATGGTGGAAGAAGGATGTTGACGGCCCTCTGGGCCTGCGGCACAAAGGCAAATCCCGCACTGTCACCACGCCTCTCATTTGTTTTGAAGCCTTGCATGACCCCACGTTTTTCGAGTACTATGCTGGTGCCCGCTTGTTGATGGCTGCTGCTGCTGCTGCCGCTGCTGGTTGTGGCGGATTTGATGGTGGTGGTCGTGTGCCAGTGATGGAACTCTTAGCGCCTTATCGCGATGATTGCGTGGGTTGATTCCTGGCAGGATTTGCAGGCTCAACAAGCCTTCAAGAGAGCTTGTGAACATTCCAGCCATCGCCCAGGCAGGGCTTATGAGAGAGTCGAGCGGCTTGGGGCTGTAGGGTGGGGGCCTTAAAATTAGAATGATGCTGGGGACTGCACGCAAGGAATGATGCATGTCGTCTAACTGTAGACAGGCTACGTAGTTGGGTTGATGTTTCTACCCAACGTATGTTCCGGAAAAACTTTGAACTGGAAATTAGCAGGAGCGGCGCAGCCTGAGCAGCGCAGCGAACCCCACGATCTAGTACTGCGATCTTCCCAAGCACAGGAAGTGCAATCTGGCAGGCCCGGCCGCCACAGCGGCGCTTCGCAGGCCAGAGATACATGTGTTCCTCGGTTCAAGGGCAGGCGCTTTTGTGCCTGGCGCATGAACAGCTGGTGTCTGAGAGAGCACAGAAGAAATGGCCGGGTTGTCGGAAGCATTAGAAACCTGAACGAATTTGAGATGTTTCTAGGCAATTGTGTCTGAGCAGCCTTGGTTTTCGTTTAAGGGAGGACACAGTGCATTGCTGCTCCCGCGCTTTGCCAGGTGATGTGGCCCGGCCGTCGGAGCTGTCGGAACTGTTTGCTGCAAGCTGGCAAACTCTACGTAGACTGTGTTTAAAAGGCATTCCACCTGATGGGTAGAAGACTGGCATGTTTGCGTAGCTGACGTAGCTATGGTCTGGGCTAGACTCTGACACCCTCAGTAAATGAAAGAACCCTGACCCGTACCTGCAAGACGAAGATGCAGTCAAGATGCTGAGCCTGCAGCTATCTGTCCAATTATTTGCCAGTTTGCTATTTGATCTGATTCTCAGGGTAGACTCTTGCAGCGGGTTGTGGGTGTTCCGGAGCTCGCAATGCAGCTGCAGCATCGACAGCATTGTCAAGCATATGAAGCTGGGTGCAGCAGAGTCTTGACACGGCCGGGAAGGGCAACCACTACCTAAAGGTAAGTGACCTCATCGGAGCGTGTGCAGAGAGGACCTAAAAGCACCCGAGCCCTGAACCACAACAACAAGTGACAGATCTCTGGCAAAGTAGCTGCTTGTCGAGTGTCTCCGCGGCATCAACGACAACGCCTCAGAGCCTGCCATACGAAAGAGCTTCGATAATTTTTTCCAGCCTGTACACTTCTGGACCTAGCTAAACATGATTTAAGGCTTAGCCCTGACAGGGCGACCTCTATACCATTTCATTCTAATCTTACAAAGGGCATTCTTTCGGCCCTATCGGCTGGCTCTGCAAGCCACAGCAGAAGGCCATGAGCAACGCCATGAGCTTATCAGCTGGGCATTAGAAAGTTGCAGCGGCAAAACGGGGCCCTCAGCGACTCTGCGGCATCAAATAAGATTAGACAATGGCAGAGCTGTCCATTCTCAGGTATTCCAAAGATTTCGACTTGTGACATACAGCATTTCGATCATTAACGAGCGACGAATCTTTTTGCAGAAGCCTGCTGGAATGAGGGACCCCTTGTTTTGCCAAACTGCCAGAGAATATTTCTCAAACGGCTCAGGATTTTCCTCCAGCAGCCAGGGGTACCAACATATCCTTCCATGGCTCCAGCACTGCTGCTATGCCAGAATGAGAATGAAGCCTGAACCAAGCTTATTCCTGCTTCTGGTGTGTCTAGCCCCATTGAATCATTGAAGAAGCGCGAGCTACTTTGCTGGCTGGCTTCAGCATATGTGTATTGAAACCGGATGCCTGCAGTTCTGGAAGTGAGAAGCTCCAGGGCTGAGGTGGGCTTAAGGATGTGGCGATCGTAATTGTGAAGTTTAGCTAATGAAATCGTTGAAGCCACTCTGCGAGGAGGAAACTCACCTAGCCAAACTTTGGGAAGTCTCATCACACTCTTGGTCTGCTTTGCTTCCGCAGGCCAAGGCTCTCCGCTTGGGAGAGCTGTGGGGCAACGGGGAATTTGAGGGGTTCTTGGATACTTTTTTGCATGGACCTGCGGACTTGCCAAATTTCATGATGTTTCCTCGGTTGGTAAGGAGCCCTTGTCACTTCCGCTAGACTCTGAAGCGATTCGGGTCATAGTTGGGGGCTGTTGGGGATCGTCATTATAAAGCGTGGATGTGAGTCTGGCAACACGAGGGTGTGGCAAATTTCTGGTCTAACACTGTTGCGAGGCGATCACCAGCGACATACAGTCACGTTTTTCCTGTTTCTAGGACTAGTTACGCGAGCACAGCGGAAACAAATTCGTGCTCCGCGGAGCATTCTCGCATGTATAGCCGCGATGCAGAGATGCAATTTTTGGGACACGGGCACCCAGGGCAATGCTCGAAAGTGATCCAAGCTTCTAGGCAACTTTCGGTCCTTTAGCCAACCGAAACACTGTTTCCATTGCAGCATCAAATTAGTTGGCCCTGATCAGCGCATGTCCCTGCTGAGTTTACTTGGGCAAGCCGACACGAAATTGCCACTGACACTGAGCATTTGCAGAGCCACCACCGTGAGTGCACGTGCTCACCTGCAGCCGGACCCTCAGCTTCTGCTACTGTCAACCGTGAGTCCAATGTGGCAAATTGCAAACAATCTTTGGCGAGATGCATCTTATCCAACAAGCACACGCCAAACTTGTCCGCTAAACCCAGTGCATTCCCCCCCATGTATATACTGTGCGCCCGCATGTCCAAAAAGTGGAAACTGATTGATTGTCTCCTTGCCCTCATTGAGGCTGCTTCTCGGGTTTACTTAGTGGTTGGCCTTCTGGCCTAATCACCTGTACTGCATGGTAGGAGTTCAACAGCATCGGGAAACGATTGCGGACTCAGGCACACGCCGTGGCTCTTGGACATGACAAGAAGTTGAGCACCCGTCTCAGATCTTCTGAGCATTGCGCAGTTGGCAGGTGGTGGTCTAGATGACATGTCACACATCCTTTGCGAGTTCTGTACATCGCTGAAGTCGGGATTTGTCAATGGCTTGCTGAGGATGGAACAATTTGGATGGGTTTTTGCTTCGCGCACAGGCCCAACCGTGCCTCGCTTCAGTGCTGACTTCATCTAGCCTCTAGCTGTTTGTATCTGCTGGGGCTGCGGGATAGCACGTGCCTTCCCGGGGAAAAATGGAGTGACACCCTTGTGTGGTGTGAGCAGGTTTGATCAGCGTTGGTCTTTCTAAACTGTATGAGGCTTGCTTCGGAAAGGACAAAAAGTTGCTTTTGAGCGGCTCAGCGCAAGAAGGCAGTTGGGACAAATCCCTGAGTCTTCCCATGCCAAGAGCTGCAGATCACTTGCAAAACAGCTTCGCCAAGCCTTCCCAAAGGGATTGCTTGAAGTGCTGGAGACAACTAGTCTGTTGTGAGAGTAGGCGACTTCATGTTCGGCCACGGGATGCAGATTTAATCGCTCACCGCTGCAAAAGGAACATGGACCTGGGACATCTTGGAACTGACGGTTTGGGCTTTAGGGATCTGTAGGGGCTAGGATTTACGGTCGGGGGTTCAGCCAGATTCAACGCTAATGGCGGGTTCTGATATGTTCTGATTATAACCCCCTCCCCTCTAGGAAGTACGGATCTGAATAACTGGGGGGGGCCCCAAAACAAGTTCGGGAAAAGCTGTCCGTCAGTCTTGTATATTGATTGTTCGTTGGGGATTTACGTGCGATTTTCGGCTCATTAGTGTTTTGCTTAGAGGAGTCTTACAGGCTTAGAGGTTTGAACAGGAGCAAGGGTTGATGAGCCAGGCCATCCCAGTGACAGGGACCTGGCTTGGGCAAGGTGCTTTGGGGGTCTTGCAGTCTCCAATCTGATGCATAATGACAAGTGTTTTTTATCGCAGTAAAAAGCACTCATCATTACGCATCTGATGGCCGATGGAAATCTAGAACGAATGCTGGCTCTGTTGCACCCTCAAGCGATTCATAGTAGGTAGCCTTTT